AATTTCCTCATCTCTTAATCGGGAGAACAACCTTTGCGCTGCCTGCCCCTGGGGTCACTCTGTGGTTTGGCTGCAGTGAGGTGGGCCATGGCGGGCAGCTGGTAAACCAGACTCAGATGGGGCTCGCCTGCAGTGCCTTGGGTGGCTCTGAACCCCTCTGAGCCCAGTTCCCTCGGTGGAACGATGGGAATGATGATCCCGTCAGCCTGTGGGCCTGCTGTGAGCGCACCTGCTCAGAGCCTGCTGATTCTGTGCTTGCCTTTGTTGTTGGTAACAGGAATTCTGAAGCACCCAGGCCTTCCCGAGTCATTGGAGGCTCCAAGGAGCCTTCACAAGACGCTCAGGACCCCTTCTGGGGCATCCCGACCTGGAGGCTGGAGAGGCAGGTCTGCGCGTCTCAGAAATGCTTTCCTTGGACAATCGGGGTTTCCCCATCCTCGTTGGAAATGCCGACCTAGTGCGTGTGGTGTGTATGGGATGTGTGTTGTGTTTGGAGGGTATGTGTGTGGTGAGTTTGTGGTGTTTGGTGTGCATCTGTGTGTGTGGTGTGAGTGTGGTGTTTGATGCCTGTGGTGTGGTATGTGTGTCTTCGTCAGCTTGGGCTGCTATAACTGAACTCCATAGACTGCATGGCTTAAACAACAGGCATTTATTTCTCACAGTTGTAGAGGCTAGAAGTCCAAGTTCACGGTGCCAGGATGCTCAGGTTCTTATGGGAGCCCTCTTCCTGGCTTGTAGACAGCTGCCTTCTTGCTGAGTCCTCACAAGGCAGAGACTATAAAGGCACTAATCCCATTCACGAGGACTCCACCCTCACAATCTAACTTTTTCCCAAAGGCACACCTCCTAATACCGTCGCATCGGACATTAGAATTTCGACATACGAATTTTGGAGAGAGACATTCAGTCCTTAGCAGTGCGTATGTGTACTCACTTCTCTGTGGTGTATATGTGTGGTGTGTGCATTGTGTGTGTGCTTCTGTGTGATGTGTGCATTGTGGTGTGTGTGCGTTTGTGTGGTGTGTGGTGTATGTAGAACATTAACAGAAGCCACCCCTCCCTGTCACTAGAGGGACGCTCAGATGTTTGTTGGGTGCAAAATGTATAACCTGAACTAGAAAAGGAGGTCAGCACAGCGCAGGCCCTGTGGTTGCAGAGTCCGCGGCTGGGAGACTTGGCAGCAAGGGGCTTGAGTCCCAGCTCAGTGGGAACAGGTGGCCCTCGGTGTAGGGAGGAGCTAGGCAGGGTCTTGGCTCCGGTGGCCCCTGGGATGAGAGGGTCCTAGGTGAGGGGTCAGCCAGCCCAGGCAGGGGAGCCCAGCTGCTGTGATGAATGACATCATTGGCCCGGCGGTGGGGGCCATGGGAGCCGAGGGCACCCCAGTGAGCTGGGGCCGGGCCCGTGGGGTCCGTGTGGGGTGGTGTCCACCCCACAGCCTCTACAGCTCAAGGCAAGCTCTGCCGACTGCCAGGTGGGCTCAGGGGAGTGGTGAGTTCTCCTCTCCCCACTGGGCCCCCCTCCCTGTGACCCCAGGCAGGCCTCCGATCTGTCTGGGCCTCAGTTTCCCATCGGTAAAATGATTCTGTCTCCTGTGGCGGCCCCAGCCCTGCTGGACTCGTGGTCCTGGATGGTGGCTGAGAGTCAATCTGGTGAGGCTCGGGCTGCAGAGACACCCTGACCCTGCCTGTGGGGCGGAGAGGGCTGCCGGAGGAGGTGTGGCCGGAGTCGCGTGCTGGGCACAGCTAGGAGGTGGCCCCGTCAGGCAGGGAGAGGCACGGGCTGAGGACGGCAGGGGACGGCAGGTGTGGCCCACGGGGGCCGGGCAGTGGATCAGGGCCCAGCACAGAGGGCTGCTTTCTGTGGCCATGGGCACTGTCCCCTGCAGGTTGTCAGCCGGGAGTGGCGAGGAGGGTCATCCCACTGCCCCTGGAGCCTGGGGGGGCAGGCAGTGTGCAGGCCAGGAGACAGGGGAGGCCACAGTCAGGCCAGCGGGACGGCCAGAGCCTTGGGAGGAGGGGACACCTCTGAGAACTGGTGGGAGCAAGGCTTGGTGGCCGGACACTGATGGTCGGGAGCCCCGGGGTCAAGGTGAGGACCGAGCCGCCACACAGAGAGCTTGGAGCAGGGCCCAGGGAGCCGAGCGCTGCCAGATGTGCTGTTCTGTCGTCATTTCTAAGACGTGCCAGCTCCGGGCTGCTGGGGTCTGTCGCGGGACGCAGAGGCCCTGGCACCGTGGCCGCAGGCAGCTGCTCTGGGGTTAGCCGTGGTGGCAGCCCTGGCACCCACACCACCCCTGCGCGGCCCGCTCCACTTCATGGCTCGAGAGTCCTGGGTGAGGAGAGCACAGAGGCTGGTGGCGGAGCTGGGCTGAGCGACTGAGCCCAGCTCCTTCTGGGTCCACTTTATAGCCCTGAGCCCCAGAGCCCAGAATGTGTGTTAGGAAAACCCGACTCAGCTGACTTTATTTATTACATCTCATGAACTTTTTTTTTTAAACTCCCACTGACTCTCTTGCACCAACACTGTATGAGAAGAGTCTGGACAGGTAGCACCTTATTAATTTGCTGTTATTGGAGAATGTGGTGTCCTAAGAATGTTAATATTTTAGGCCTTGCAGGCTTTTTACGTATTAAAGGTAATACTGAAGGTAATAAAAGTAATTATTATTTTACTCTCTTATTTTTTGGGGGGGAAGGTATGGTAGAAAAATCTTTGCTCTCTTTTCATTCTCCTATCTGCGTGTTTGCCTTTTGCAGAACACCGTCTGCCGGTTTTTAGTTTCCTTCTGCTCTGGGCTGGGAGAACAGACAGCACAGCTTGCTAGCACTGTGTGTAAATCATGAGATAGTAGGCTCTGAGTGAGGGACAGGGGATTTGCCTGTGGTGTGGCGTGAGCTGGCTTATTACTGATGTGAAAGGAAGCAGGGAAAGAAGCAGGGCTCGGTGCTGAGAAGCTGGCTATCTTAAGTCATTCAACAAAGTGCTGAATGTGTCCCACGAGCGTTTTTCCCTTCATGCCCAGTGTATTCCTTTCCGGTGTCTGCCATAAAGAATTTCCACAAATGGAGAGGCTTAAAACGACAGAAATTTACTTTCTTACAGTTTTGGAGGCCAGAGTCCAACATCTGGCGGTGTCAGTGGTGTCGGCGGGGTGCTGCTCACTCTGGAGGCTCTAGGAGAGGACCCCCCGACCTCCTCCAGCTGCATCACTCCAATCCCCGCTCTCTCTTCACACGGCCTTCCCTTCTGCATGCTCTCTGCTCTGTGTCTCTGTCAAGGGCGCATGTCACTGAATTTAAGACTCGCCCTCATCGTGGATGATCTCATCTTGGGATCTTTAACTTGATTACATCTGCAAAGACCCTTTTCCCAAATAAGGGCATATTCCCAGGTTCCGGGGAATAGGATGTGAACATGGCTTTTGGGGACCATCATTCAGCCCACTGTGGTCCTCATCAGCCCAAAGCTGACCCCTGTTGCTCGGGACCTGCTGCCCAACCAAGCATCCTCAGAGTTGCGCTTAAATTCTGTCCGGGGCCAGCGTCACCGGTGCATGGTGTGGTTGTAGAGGCCGTCAGGGGGCTTCACTCTGGGTTTAATGCTCAGTGTCGTGGTCATGAAAAGCTGAATAGCTTTTGAACAAGACCCTCGCATTTCCATTTTGCACTGGGCTGCACATTCTGTACCTGGCCTTGACTCTGTCCATGGTCTCTAGGCCCCATGTGGTCGGGCAGTTTACTCCCTTTGTCTCCCTCTGCCAGTGACTTGGGTAATATTTGATAGAGGTCTCAGATACCCTGTTTACTATTTCTTTCCAACGCCAATCCCAATCCAGAGTTATTTTATGTATTCATTTCCGTAGTCGTCTCCCTGGCTAGAAAGTTCTATGATGGCTGGGACGCTGTCTGGCCCTCCATCGCATCCCAGGGCTAGCGCAGGGCCGGCGCTGAGTATAGCTTCTGGAGCGCACCTTCTCGGCTCTTCTCTCCCCGTGGCGTGGCGTCGAGCAGTCACATCTCCTTGCTGAGACTCTCGGGCTCCTTCGTCAACACTGTGCTGTGCCGTGTTCTGTGGGGTGACAATACACAGTGCTGCTAGCTGTCACTAGGGCCTGATTTTAATGGCTTTGGCTTTGACACCATGTGGGCTGTGAGGGCAGCCCTACCAAATGGAAGGTCTGGCGTCCCCCAGGGAAATGTGAGTGCGGGAGGGGCCGTTAGCTTATCAGGCATCCCGTTGGCCGCCTGACCAGCTCAGGCCTGGCCAGGCAGGCACAGAGGTCTGGAGGACTGCAGAGCACCATGCTTGGCTGTCACCTCCTCCAGGGGCTGTGCTACTCCCCCAGGCTGGTTTGGGCACCAAAACTGGGCCCAGAGCTAGCAGTTCTGGGCAACCAGTGCTGTGCTAGTCCTTGGGGTAGGGAGGGAACCACTAACCTTTAGGGAGTCTAAAAGCCCAGTTTTCAGAGTGCGGTCCTTAGACTCTGCTCCTGAATCACCTGGGTGTGTGGATGAGACATCCAGGTCCCCTGGCCCCCTCCCCACAGGCCTCAAGCTTTGAGTTCTGTGCTCCCCCAGAATCCTGCCTTTGAATCAAGCACCAGGGTGACTGAGGCCCAGTCACATTTGCAGATCGAGGTCTATAGTTGCTTAGATGGCATAGTCTCATCTTGATGAGGCCGGGACTGGACCAGACAGAGCTACTCAATGAGAGGTGGTCACCTGGGAGCCTCACCTGGGAGCCTGGGAGACATGCAAATCAGATTCCTGGGGGTAGGCCCAGGACTCCGTCTTAACAAGCTTCCGAGTGATTCTGATGCGGCCCCTGTTGGAGAAGCCCTAGGTCAGTGTTGTGAATGGTGAGGCATCTTCGGGGTGAGCAGGTGCGCGGATCAGGGAGGGAGGCATCGGCAAACGCTGCCTGCCATCGTGTTTGAGTGCCCCAGGCGAGGGGGCGCCAGCCCCTCTCTCTCTGCTGACCTGGCTTCCTTCCTTCCCCAGGATCCCAAGTGATGGTGGTTTACGCAGAGGAGCTGAGCCCTGTGAGACTGATTAGCGCGGTGGAGCTGGGAGCGGCGCCTGCTGGCTGGCGGGAGTGAACACAGGATCTCAGCGTCTCAACCTGAGAGGAAGCATGTCTAAGAAAGGCCGGAGCAAGGGCGAGAAGCCTGAGATGGAGGTGGACGCGGTGCAGATGGCCAACGAGGAGCTGCGGGCCAAGTTGACCAGCGTTCAGATAGAGTTCCAGCAGGAAAAGAGCAAGGTGGGAGGGACAAGGGCCTCCTGGCTCGAGTGAGGGGTGGGCTGTGAACTCCTGGGGGACAGACTGCCCCCGAGGGAAGTGTGAAGGGTGTGTCCCAGGGCTGGGGTGGGGCTGGGCGCTCCACCTCTCTGAGCCTCAGCTTGCCTCGCTTTAAAATGGGTATAACATCAGTGGTGGTACAGAGACCACCTGGGTGCGAATCCTGTCCGCTACCCGCCCCCCACCGACCCTCCCCGACATTTGGCTCTGATCTCGGACAAGGTACTTCACTCTCCACACCGTAATTTCCCTCACCTGCAAGATGGGATCATAACAGTACCACCTGATGGGCCGGTGGGCAGGAGTAAGGATGTAAATACGTATATCAATACGTAAAGCAGCGGTCCCCAACCTTTCTGGCACCAGGGACCGGTTTCGTGGAAGACGGGTTTTGCACGGACAGGGTCGGGGGGAGAGTACAGGCGGTAACGCGAGCAGTGGGGAGCCACGGGGAGCGCCAGCTGAAGCTTCGCTCGCTCGCCCGCCGCTCACCTCCTGCTGTGCGGCCCGGTTCCTAACAGGCTGCGGACCGGTACCGGTCCACGACCTGGGGGTTGGGGACCCCTGACATAAAGGGCTTGATTTGGAGCCTGGCTCTGTGATGGGAGCTGTTTTGCTCTCGTAAGGCAGGTATGAGCTTTGGAGCCAGTCAGTACGATGCCCCGTTGGGTGCCAATCAAAGTGTCGGCGTGATGGGCAGCCAGTCACAGTGGGAGGAGCCCAGGCTTCCTAATCATGCAGACCTGGCTTCAGACCTCACCTTGACCCCCGACTGGCTTCACGATCTTAGACAAGTGACGTAAAGCCTCTGAACCTCCGTTTTCTCACGGGTAACATGGCATCACGATAACCACCCAGTTTAAGGTTGTCTTAAAGATCTTAGGTAATGTAAGCAAGAAAAGCCCATCCGGTGCCTGGGCGCTGCCCCAGTCCTCCTTGTTGGTGTGGTTCTGACCTGGGTGGTTTGAGGGCAGAAGCAGGCGGGGTGGAGGTGCTCTCCTAGCAGGATGGAGCCGCCATTCGTGTGAGAAGAGAAGGAGGACGGGGTTTGGGCTTGCTCCTGGGGAGCCCGACGGAGGGGCTGGCCTTATACCCCAAGCCGTGAAGGTACCCTCCGGCCCTGCCCAGAGCACCTGAGGGAGGGGAGGGACTGCTTGGGGGATGGCAGCAGGTGTCTGGTTGAGAGCTGCAGTGCTGAGCGGGGTCCAGCTCCTGGGTGGGGAGGGGGCTGGGGCTTGGTCCTTGGCTCTGACCCCAGCTCAAGACAGCTACATGGAGAGCAGAGGCAGAGCCCCCGACCTGGGGCGATGAAAACTGGGCTCCTGGAGCTTGCGGACACATGTGCTGCCTCCCATCCCCAGACACTCAGAGTTCCAGGGCCAGTGCAGCCAAGGTGTTTCAGCACAGTTGCTGGTGGTGCCAGCCTGTCCACATCCTGTCCAGCTCAGGAAGGATTTGCCTGCCAGGATCCCCTGGGTTGTCAGCTGCACAGCTGGGCCTAGAGGGGCTGACCAGGCAGTAGCAGCAGCAGCTGTGCTTATGGGGAAAGCCGCACAGCCAACGTCATTCGGCCAGGTCTCCGTCCCACCTCCACCACCTAACTCGCCTTGAGGCCTTGGGGCAAGCCAGGTAGCTGCCTTATGCCTCAGTTTCCCTATCTGTTAAATGGGGACATCTGATGTGTCTGCTTCCCTGGGTTGTTTAAGGAATAAATGAGAGAGTCATATCCGGAGCCTGGGCACTGCCTGTCACATGTAGTTACTCAGCGGTTGGCAGACACGTGTCTGCTACACAGGCCACACCAGGTACCTTAGAGGGCCTCCTGACCCTCATAGTGACCTGTGAGGTCAGATGTGGCTTTCCCCACTTTATAGGTGGGCAAACTGAGGGTTGGAGAGGAAAGGTGGCTGGGCTGCCGTAACAAAGTACCACAGACCGGGGTAGGGGTTCAACAACAGAGATTTATTTCCTCACAGTCCTGGAGGCTGGGAGTCTGAGATCAAGGTGTGGGCAGGGTTGGTTTTTCCTGAGGCCTCTGTCCTTGGCTTATAGACGGCCGCCCTCTCCCTGTGTCCTCACATGCTCTTCTCTGTGTGTGTCTGTGTCCTAATCTCTTCTTGTCAGGGCACCAGTTGTATTGAATCAGGACCCACCCCCATGACCTCATTTAACTTAGTAACCTCTTTTAAGACTGTCTCCAAATACAGTCACATTCTGAGGGTCTGGGGGTTAGGACGGCCACTCAGGAATTTGGGGGGACACAGTTCAGCCCATCACAGCAGGTGTGCACAGTCACAGGTCACACAGGTGTTGGCACTGGGTTGGAAGCCAGGCCTACAAGAAACCCAGTCTGTGCCTCCCCAGGCACCTCCTGCCTCTACGTGCCCTGGCTGCCCGTTTGCTCAGTCCAGCCACCCCGTGGCCCTGCCGGGGGGCTTATCCAGGCCGCCACTGGGAGAGTTTCTGTTCTCAGAGAATTCAGCAATGTGCTTACTGGCTGGTATGAGAAACATAAGTGTAAACTCTGTGATTGCGTTTAACTGCTGTTTCTATATGATCTCATGATAACTGTTGCTGATGTATTTACAGTGTTGTTACTTTAGCAGAGGAGTCCCCATTGAACACCGCAGGGCGAGGGCATGTGGGGAACGTACCTGTTGGTTCATCCACACATTCATCAAGCCCCCAGCCCCCCGCCCTGTGCCTGTGCTCTGGGCCTGGGCTGGGCGTTTGGAAGTGACTCAGAAACGGCCCGCCCTCAGGCAGGCTGGGTGCTCATATACTCAGGGCGCTAGCCGGATGACAGTACTTGGCATGTTGCACCAGAGATTTTAGGAAGCCATGCAATGGTCAGAGTGGCCCGAGAAAGCTTTGCAGGGGTGGTCTGGAGCTGGCTCTGAAGGATTTTGCTGGCTGGCCCAAAAGGGAGCAGGGCTCACACCGTTCCAAGTGTCTGGCATCACCTGGGAGTATGCGCAGCACCAATCAGCGTGCCAAGGCCACTGGGGCAGAGACCCTGACTTGTTGAGGCCCATGGCCTGGAGTGGGTGGGGGCAGAGAGGGCAGTGGTCAGCACATGGGCCCAAGCCAGGCCATGAAGGTTCCGGCTGCTGCCCAGCGCTCACCGAGCTGGTGATTCGTTCGTTCTTGCAATGAGCAGCCCACCCTGGTCTGGATCTACACTGGGCCAGGGACTAGTCCAGCTACAGAAGTGAATCAGGCTTCATCTTGCCCTGCAGGGGCTGCCGGCTGCAGTGGGTAGGCCGGGAGAGTTGCAATTTGGGTGTGATCTGTGTGGTGATGGAGGGAATAATGCAGGACTCTGGGAGCCCAGGGGAGGCCCTGACCCAGTCGGGGAAGCCTTCCAGGTCTCCTGGAGAATGGAGGGAAGGTGAGGCACAGGGACCAGGCAGAGGGACCAGCTAGCCTAGGAGCCGGCACCCACGTGGGTGGGGGGGAAGGCCAGTGCCCCAGAACCGCAGCCACCCTCATGCCCCAGGGAGTGGATGCTGTCATTCATTCTTTACAAAACTGCCAGGCCCCTCAGCCTTTCATTCTTTCCTTTGCTCAGTCCGTGGCTAGTTATTGAGCACCTACTGTGTGCCATGCTGTGTCCCAGGAGCTGGATTGCCCTGGAGGTCCTCTCCTGGAGCTAGTATCTAATGGGGGAGGTAGGGAACGAAGGCCAGGAGATTAACATGGAATATTTATTCCATAGTGAAAAGTGCCAAGAAAGTAAAGCAGCAGAAGCTGGTGGAGAGTCGTGGGGCTGCAGTGGGGGTGGCTCTTTTGGGAGGTGGTCAGCAAAGGGGTGCTGCAGGGGGTGGGAGGGCAGGTCCTGCAGAGGCCTGGCTGGGAGCATTCCAGGCAGAAGGGCCGGCTTGGGGAAAGGCCGCAGGCGGGAAGGTGCCTGCATGTCTGAGGTGCAGCAGCCAGGGACGTGGCTTGAGCTGGGTGGTCAGGGAGGAGGACCAGAGAGCCATCAGCCGGGGTCAGTCCTGTGGGCCGGGGAGGACGTGGGCTTGTATGCTGGATGCCACAGAGCCCTCGAGGGTGTTTTTGGTTTTCTTTCGTATTTTTCCATGTATCAGTTCAGTCATTTATATCACTATGAACACTATTTTACACTTCGGCTTATAATCCAGAAGTACTTTATTTTGTTGCTCAGACTGTTCTAGCTTCGGCCACGGGAATCTCTTTCAGTTGACCCCTGTGTTCCTTTGCACCCCATCATTGTGGCATTTATTTATTAATTTATTCTTGGGTACACCCTTACTTTCCAGTCCTGTAAGGTGCTCCAGGTTCGTCTTGTGTATTCCCTGCCCCAGTCCTAGAGCCACTCATTTCTCCAAGGAGCCCTGGTCCCACTTATCAGAGAATGGCATGAGAAACCAGGATCTGGGCACTGGGTGTGCTCACCGCTGCTGGCATGTCGTTGCTTCTAGGCTTAGCTGACAGAGCAAGGAAGTGTATGCGTATATACTAACCGTGTATGTGTACATATCGAAAATATTTCTAAATGTAGCATCTATATGTATATGAAGTTAAACATGAGTTCTTACCGATGTCCCCAGGCTAATCCACTAGCACCTGGATCCTCTGGCCTTCTCCCCTCGCTCATCTGTCCTCCCTCCAGCGGGGAGGGCCTGACCCCACCACCCATTTACTTAGTTATTCAGCACTCTAGTGGTTTCAGAACGGTTAACCCTCACCCCGTGGATTCAGAGGGAAGTAGAGGGAAACCTTCTAACGTGTGTGTTCAGAGGCCTGTGCTGGCCGCTGGGAAGGACTAAAGGGCGAGTGTGCGGGGGCAGAGGCAGGGCGATGGGTGAGAAGGTGACTGCCACGGGCTGGCAGAGGGCTGCTGCCGCTGGCTTGGACCAGGGTGGTCACAGGGAACGGGGAAAAGTGATCTAGGCCTGGAAGTGGAGACCCAGCGCTGACAGATGGGCTGAGGAGTTGGGGAAGGAGCCAAGTGGAGGCTGACTTCACTGTGCCCACTGGGGCGCTGGCGGTGCTGCCTCAGAGTTCTCCAGGCCAGCCCCTCCCACCTAGATGCCTGCCCTTTGTTGGTCACTTTGCTCTTGCCACATTTAGAGCCCAGGCGCTGAGGCAAGGCTGGTAAGGGCCCCTCTCTCCTGCTGCACCTCTGGACTTGGGGGCGGGGCACAGCTTGGAGGCAGCTGGCGAGTCAAGTGGCACATGACTTTCGTAGACCTGCTCCACTCAATGGAGTAAGGAGCGGGTGCTCTGCGCCCACCAGGGGCCACCCCGCCTCACTGTGCCACACCTGGCTCATGGTGCCTGGGCTTGGCCCTCAGCTTTTCTAGGCAGAGCTGGTGGGACCCAGCAGGGCCTTCTCCCGCAGCCCATCCACTGTTAGCCTCCCTGCCCTACACACGGGTGTCACCTGGCCCATCTCAGCTGGCCCCCTCTGCCCCTCCCAGGGGCAGGCCCGGCCTCACCCAGGCTGCCCTGCACACGCCTCTGCTCACGCTGGCTGCATTCCTCCTTCCTTTACTGCCTGGGACCATACTCCCCTTTATCCGCTCATCCGCTTTCAGCTTTCCTCCTCCCAACAGTCTTTGAGGGGCAGCTGTCGATAGCCTTGTTTCCCAGGGGAGGGTCAGGAAGCTCTGGGAGGTCTGTATAGTCAGGGTTCTTCAGAGAGAAGAAGAACCAGTAGGAGAGAGAGATGGAGGGGGATTTGGTGTTTTCAAGAAGGTGGCTCACATGGTCATGGAGGCTGACAAATCTGAAATCGGCGGGGCAGATAGGCTGGAAATTCGAGGGAGCACTGATCTCACAGTAATGAGGCAGAATTCCTTCCTCATTGGGGGACCTCAGTCTTTTCTCTGAAGACCTTCAACTGACTTGGTGAGGCCCACCCACATTATACAGGGTCATCTGCTTTACTCCAGGTCTACTGATTTAAATGTTAATCACATCCTTAAAAATTCCTTCACAGCAACATCTAGACTGGTGTTTGGCCGAATGACCTGGGACCACAGCCCTGCCCAGTTGACACGTAACATTAACCATCTCGAGGTTAAGTAGTTTGCAGAGGGAAATGCACTCGTCAGTGCAGATTCGGATTCCGACAAGATCCCATCCCTTTGACTTCAAATCACCATCAGCATCCCAGAAAGTTAGAACAGTGTTGCCTCCTTAGAAGGAGAATGCCAGGAGCATTTAGTTCCTCCCTGGGGAGATCATGTTAAATATTTAAAGTTCTGGCTTCCTGGCACTCAATCCCTTAGGAAGAGGCCAATTCTAGCTCTTGGGTGAGATGAGCCCTCTGACAGGTCCGGTCCTTGTTTTATTTCTGTGATTATGCGTGTTTGATGTAAGGAGACATTGATCTTGTATCTTTGCCTGGCCAGGTTTATTTGCTCCTTTCCCTGCTGTTATGAGTAAGGATTTATCAACCCGAGTGACATCGTAAAACTCCTCACCTAAAAGTAATTTCAGCATGTTGGTGTTCTATAGACTGTGGTCTGGGGGAAATGTTGCCACCTTGGAAGCAGCTCATCCATGAGAGACACATTGGTTTCTGTTCTTCGGAGATTGCTGTAATTTAGGAAACGAATGGGTTCCTGTGGAATGTGTGTAATTGTGTGATATTTGAAATAAAAAGATCGAATAAAGCCTTTTGGAGTGTTTGAAGAAGACACTCCCTTGGCATAATTTACAAATAATGTTTTGTTTGCTGAATAGACGAATACCTTCTGGTGGGGTTAGCAGCCTGGCACCCGCAGACCACTGGCCCTGGGGCCAGGCGCCTGGGGGTGAAGCCTGGCTCTGCCCCTTGGCAGCCCCTCATCCCAGGCAGGTCACCAGCGGTGCATCTCTGATGCTCGGCTGCCTTGTGGCAAAGCAGTTACCTCCTTCCTGGCTGCTGTGAGAGCTTCATGTGGGGGGGAGGGTCACAGAAGCCCCCAGCCCGGGCAGGAGAGCCACTCAGCAGTGAGGGCACCTCCACCCCTGCCTCTCTCTACGTCCACCTGCTCAGCCTCCTTAACTCCAGAGTTCAGGGCATGGGCACTGGAAACGTGTTTCTGGTTTACAATCTGTTCTGCTCTGATGAGACAGATGATTTCTGCGCGGCATATTTTGTGACTGATAAACTGTCCTTCCTCGTAAATCTCCAAATTGGAAGGGATGTCAAAGCCTTACTCTCCTCTCCAACACCCTCAGATGTTTTTCCACAGCTGGGAACATCTCAACAAAATAGTAGGGAAGACTCTGCGTGGGACTGATGGAGGTGGCGGGAGGGGGAACTGGAGTGCGGGCACCGGGGGAGGATCTCAGGGGCCTGTCACACACGAAGGGACACGGGGAGGTGGCGGCAGGCCTGGCCGGCTCCCCCAGCCCAGACGCTGACTGGCTCTCCCCCCACGGCTGCAGGTGGGCAAACTGCGTGAGCGGCTGCAGGAGGCCAAGCTGGAGCGCGAGCAGGAGCAGCGGCGACACACGGCCTACATCTCGGAGCTCAGGGCCAAGCTGCACGAGGAGAAGACCAAGGAGCTGCAGGCGCTGCGCGAGGTGCTCATCCGCCAGCACGAGCAGGAGGCAGCGCGCACGGCCAAGATCAAGGAGGGCGAGCTGCAGCGGCTGCAGGCCACGCTGAACGTGCTGCGCGATGGTGCAGCCGACAAGGTCAAGACGGCGCTGCTGGCCGAGGCGCGTGAAGAGGCGCGCAGGGCCTTTGACGGCGAGCGCCTGCGGCTGCAGCAGGAGATCCTGGAGCTCAAGGCGGCACGCAAGCAGGCGGAGGAGGCACTCAGCAACTGCATGCAGGCCGACAAGGCCAAGGCGGCCGACCTGCGCGCTGCCTACCAGGCGCACCAGGACGAGGTGCACCGCATCAAGCGCGAGTGCGAGCGCGACATCCGCCGGCTGGTAAGTGGCGCTGCCCTCTCCCCCCCACCGGCTCGAGTGCGTACCTGACCTTCCGCACACGCAGCCCATCCTCCCTGCACACATGCAAGCCCTCCTGCACACACGCACCCTGCTCTTACGCACAAGCAGCTTGTCTTCCCTGCACACATGCAAGCCCTCCTTCCGCACACACACAGCCCATCCTTCCATGACGCATGCGCCGTGTCCTCTCCACAAGCAAGTGCCCCAGTCCTCCCTCACGGAGCAGTAAATGCCGAGTTTTGGGGACCCACTGTGCTCCAGGCATGGTTCTAGACCCTGGGGTTCCAACAAAGCCCCTGCCTGGGCGTGGAATGGAAGCTTTGGCAAGTCTCTCCTGTCTCTGGAAGACATCTAAGAAATTTAAGGACTGGAGGCAGAAGGACAAGGTGTCCTTTTTGGAGTCCTGGTCCAGCTGTCCATCCTAGACTGGTCACCAGTCAGTGACAGAGCATCAGTTCACAGCTTAACAAGCCAGTACCAAGAATGGCAGAAGAGATGCACTGATTTTAAATGTCTAATGTATAGAAAATCTAAGCACATACTGATACTAAGTTCTCAGAAGTATTCCCCAGCCCCTTTTGCCTTTGTGTGTGTAGGGGCGGTGTTATCACATAATAGGAAGAGAAGGCTTTGGAGAAAGTCTCTTCTGGGTGTGAATCCAGACTCCCTCACTCGTTAGCTGTGTGAGCCCAGTCAAGTTGCTTACGGCCTCTAAGCCTCTGGTGCCTCACCTACAAAAGGAGGAGTAATCACGTATCTGTTACAGCATTACGAGAATTAGGTTAACTAAAGCATCTATCTGCAGCTTATAGATTGTGTAATAGGAGACATGTAAAATATGTTCCTCTGTTACAGGAAATGTATATTTAAGGTAAATAAAATGGGGAAAAAACAAGTATTTGCACAAGAGACAGACTGAGCTTAATTTAAAACGAACCAAGGACTTGGTGTCTGTTTCCATTTCAGTGCCAAACAGAAGTATCCCCAGCTCAGGTAGTCTCAGTGTGTGGGGGCCACTTAGGAGAATAGAGTGAAAAGAATAAATGTCCATTTCTCCAGTTCTCCACGCATTTGATAAATGTCCCTCGTCAGACAGGCCTCTTGGCAACGTGTTCAGAAAGTGGCCTGCGTTTTGTTTCTTTGTCAGCTGGACTGGATTAGAAATGCAAAAGGCTTCCAGGCTTCCACTTACACATTTAACATGGCTCTGAAGAAACAGTCAAGAAGAAAAGGCAATTGTGGTCAACGTGGGGCTATTGGACACATTCTTTAAACCAGTTAGGATTAGGTCTGAGAAGACTCCCCCCAATACACAGGGGCTTAAAATCTGGAAGTTATTTCTCTTTCATATACAAAATCTGTAAAGTGCTCCACAGAGTAGGGTAGGCCACAGGGCCTCTTACTTCTCCCCTCAGAAGGGGCTCTGGGATGTGGCCATGGTCCTCATGGCCCCTCATGCCATGGAGTGCCAGCCATCACATCTGCATCCCAGGTTGGCAATAGGAGGGCAGATGAAGGAGGGTATGGTCTTCATTTAAAAGCAATTTTCTTTCTGGAGGTTCTATATACCTCCATTTCCATCTCTTTGGCCAGAAGTTACTTGCTCAGCCTCACCCAGCTGCAAGGGGAGCTGGGAAATGCATGGCAGCTCCTAATAAATCCTGGTATGGCGCTCTGTTCATTTCCTAGGGCTGCTATAACAAACTCCATGGCTTATAACAACAGGAATTTATTCTCTCGCAGCTCTGGAGGCTAGAAGTCTGAAAACAAGGTGTCAGCAGGGCTGTGCCCCTCTGAGGGCTCCAGGGAAGAACCTTTTGTTTGCCTCTTCCAGGCTTGGGTGGTTGCCGGGAATCCTTGGCGTTCCTCGGCTTGCAGCTGCATTACTCCAGCCTCTGCCTCCACATGGCCTTCTCTTCCCCACGTGGCTGTGTCTTGTCGTCTTCTTATAAGGACACCAGTTACTGGATCTAGGGCCCACCGCCATCTGTTATGATTTCATCTTAGTTATATCTGTAAAGACCCTATTTCTAATAGGATCACATTCTGATTTTCCTGATAGACATGAAATTTGAGGGGGACACCATTCACCCAACTACAGGTACCAAGGAGGAGACGAGAATGGATCTTGGGGTAGCAGCTTCTTTTTCATTCTTTGATGCTCCAAACTTTGCAAATGAAGTGGAACTAACAGAATTATTCACAAATTGGTGGGTTCGTTGGGAGCTGGCTAAACAGGTTTTCACTGAGACGAGTGTCCTGATGGATGTGACTGCTGAGAAATGCTTAGATTCTGTGCCTCTGGGGCTGAGAGAGGGCAGAGTGAGGGCTTTGCAGGGGCTGACCTGAGTCTGAATCATGGATCTGCTTCTGACTAGTGTGTGGGCACATTCACCTCTCAGGGCCTCAAGCTTATCTGTAAGATGGAGTAAATAATGTCTACTTTGAGGGTCTTTTGAAGACTGAGAGAGAGAGTGTCTCTTAAGTACAAATGTAGTCCCGATCTCACACTAGCACGTAAGTAAAAAGTGATAGCCATCACCCAGACTGTTGTTCTTTCCCTAACTGTATGTCAGCTAGAATCTTATGGTTGCAAGGGACAGAAATTCCACCTCAGACTAGCTTAAACCATGAGTCTGTCGGCTCTCATGACTGAAGTAGCAGGACTAGCCTCAGGCATAGCCCCAGTGGCACTAATGATGTCACCCCGGACCCAGGTTTCTCAGGCTCTGCTGTGTCCCCTGATGCATCATTCTCAGGCTCTGAGCTCTCAGTGTGCTGGTGAGATGCCACCACTGTGCCAGACCCCACATCCTCACAGGAAACAGCCCAGTTGATTTACAATGTTGTGTTAGTTTCTGCTCTACAGCAAAGTGAAGCTGTTATACATATACATATATCCACTCTTTCTTAGATTCTTTTCCCATATAGGTCATTACAGAGTATTGAGTAGAGTTCTCTGTGCTATACAGTAGGTTGTTATTAGTTATCTATTTTATATATAGTAGTGTGTATATGTCAATCCCGATCTCCCAATTTATCCCTCCCCTCCTTTCCCCCTTGGTAACCATAAGTTTGTTTTCTACATCTGTGACTCTATTTCTGTTTTGTAAATAAGATCATTTGTACCATTTTTTTTAGATTCCACATATAAGTGATATCATATATTTGTCTTTCTCTGTCTGACTTACTTCACTCAGTATGACAATCTCTAAATCCATCCATGTCACTGCAAATGGCATTATTTCATTCCTTTTAATGGCTGAGTAATATTCCATTGTATATATGTACCACATCTTCTTTATCCATACCTCTGTCAAAGGACATTTAGGCTGCTTCCATGTCCTAGCTATTGTAAATAGTGCTGCAGTGAACACTGGGGTGTGAGAGAAGCTCTTTCTTAGCTCCTAAGGAGAAACAGGAGGGGCCTAGCAACACCCTCTTTGGGCCTGTTGGCTCTGATTGGGTCATGTATCCACCCCTGACCCAGTTACTTTTAGGCGGTGGAGCCATGCAGGTGATGTGAGCCAATCAGGGCCTGCCCTGGGAACTTGGAGTGATTTCAGCCCCACCCCTCTCCTGAACCACATGGTGAGAGTGGGAGTGTGGGAGAAGGGGAAATGGATGCTGGAAGGCAACCCAGGAATGTCCAGCACACTCAGGTGTTGGGGTTTGGGGAAGCTTGAGAAGCTCATTGTCAGAGGTTTACACTTCCTCAGGTCCTCAGGGCAGGGGGCAAGATCACTAAGGGCCCAGCCTGGGGGCCAGACCAGAGTCGACAAATAGTGAGAGTAGCTGTGTGAGCTGGCAGGTCTCCTGACCTCTGCAGCCTCAGGACTCTGGCTGGGGAAATGTGACAACCTAGAAAATGTTGGCTCCACAATCTATTCCACATCGTCCATCCATTCCTGGATGCCATCTCCACTAGTGGAGACTGTTTTCTGGGAACCTTTCCCACATGATGGGGTGTAAGCCCTCTGCTCATTTTCTAGGATAAATGGGGAATCTGTGCTCTTCCAGGCTGAGAATTTGGATTTCCAGAGATGTCTCGCTTAAGATGCTGTTCTTTCTTGTGGGAGGAACTAGTGTAATGCAGTGGTGGAGGCAGCGCTTCTGGGCTCCAATGCAAAGCCAGGAGTGTGCAGCTGGGATGCTGAGGGGGACGGACTGGAGCCCTACCTGTTAACTTGTAACACCTCCCCAACTGGCACCACTGATTCCCCTCGATTTATCTTTTTCTCCTAGCATTAATCATGCTCTGATCTACTCCATGTTGACTTTTTTATTCTGTTTTCAGCTACCCTCCCCTCTGGAATGGAAGCTCTGAGGGCGGGGACTCTGATCTGTTTTGCTCATCAGTGTTTCCCAGCACCTGCTGATGGCACTCAATTCAGTATTTGTTGAATTAATTAAAGCATGTTTAAGTGGTTTCAATTAATGAACTTTCACTGGTTCACATTGCTTCTGGATTGAACTCTGCAGTGGCAACAGTGTTTTCTGCATCATCAAGTGTTCTTCCCTACAGCGGGGAGGTGTTCCCATCTCCGGCTCTGAAGAGCGGGGAGCTGCGGGTGACCGCCACCAGGGGGAGCAGCAGGCACATTCTGCAGCTGCTGCAGGAGAAGCTGCACCGGGCACACCCTTGGCTGGAGTTCCAGGAAACTGTCATGGGGAGGTGGTTGGGGAGTATCCTTTTTTCTTCTAAAGAAAGGCCACTCAAAGAGCTTGTCAGAGCTCTGGGACTTTGCTTGAAAGCCTCAGTCTGGAGGTTGGGGGTACCATTTGCTGCCTTCTGTAAACTGTATTTTGTAAGTTTTTCATGGTCTGCTGTTTAAATCAGATAGCCTTCTGTTACGCAGGAGCTAAAGTAGATTACTAGTGGCCGCTAACATTGATTGTGTGCTTGTAAGATGCCAGGCTCTGTGCTAAATTCTTCCCGTGGTTGAAGTCTCCCCCCAATTGGACGGGGTGTTCTCAGTGTCCCCACATTACCGAAGCTGAGGCTAAGAGGGGTGGCCCAGTCTGCCCAGAGTCACACAGCAGGTAGGGGCAGGGATTTGAGCTAGCTTCTGTCCGCCCTCAGGGCAGGGCTCCTAACTAGCATTCTCTGCTGTAGCGATGTTTCAAGTTACAATCAGCTTTAGTTTGTTACCCTCTGAGAGTGTGATGAGTGTGAAGGGCATTTGTATTAGTTTCCTGGGGCTGCCTTAACAAATGGCCACAAACTCAGTGGCTTAAAACAACGGAAGTTTACTCTCTCACTGCTCTGGACTCCAGAAGTCCAGAATCAAGGTATCAGCTGGGCCGCGCCCCACTGAAGGCTCTCGGGGAAGACCCTTCCTTGCCCTTCCAGCTTCTGATGGCTCCAAGAGTTCCTGGGCCTGTGGCTGCACCACTCCAATCTCTGCCTCCCTCTTACATGGTGATAAATGGAATATTTCCTGCCATACCAATAAACAAAGGATGTCACAGTCATCAACGACTGCAGCCCTTCAACGTGAGCCGGTGAGCCCTGAGGAAACTCAAGGCTGACAAGAATACCTGCCATCTAGCAGCCCTCAGACTGCAGCCACTCCCTGCAGCGGTGAGCCCTGAGGAAACTCAGGGTGTGAAAATGCAGGATACTGGCCCCAGGTAGCTGAGGTGCACATCAAAGGCATGATTTCAGTGAGCCCAGACTCTTGCATCTTCCCATACATAGGAAAGCACTACATTCCTTTACTTGAGATATCTGGTTTTCTTTAATGAACAATCATCTTTTGACGTTCCCTACTACTTTGCCTTTGTCGCAAAAACTCCTCTATATCCTGGCTCCTCCCCTCGCCTCCTCCGAGCAGTTTCTCAGAGTTGCCTGAAACGCTGTCTCCTGGGCTGCGGTCCTCATTTTGCCCCCAATAAAACTTAACTCGCAACTCTCACATTGTGCTTTTTTTTTAAAGTCAGCAATGGCCTCCCCTCTATGTTTTTTTCCTTTGGTCTGCGTCTTCTCTTTGTCCTATGAAGACACTTGTCATTGGATTTAGGACCCAGCCAGTTAATCCAGGACGATTTCCTCATCTTAAGATCCTTAATTACACCTGCAAAGACCGTTTTCCCAAAAAAGGTCCCATTCACAGATATCTGAAGTTAGGATGTGGACATGTCTGTTTAGGAACCACAATTCAAACAACTGCAATATTCATTCATTCATTTCCTCAATATTTGCACACCTAATGGAAACAAAAGTCTAGGAAAGACAGGAACTACTATTTATTGAGACCTACTATGTGCATGCAACAATTATACTTAGAGCTAATGTTTATTTCATGCCTACTGCGTGCCAGACAGTTTTTATGTGTTAATGTATTTCATCCTCAAAACATCCCTGTTATTATCCCCATTTCACAGATGGAAAACTGAGGCTTAGGAAGAAATCAAGTAACTAAACCAAGGTGACAGAGCCAATAAGTGGTGGCATCAGGGCTAGAACCCAGGCAGTCTGGGCCCAGTGGCCTTGCTCCTAAGCAGCCTGCCTGTCTCTGCTGTACCCTTCAGCCCTCACAGCTCCCCTTCCAGGTGGATGTTCCTACATCCCCATTTTACAGGTGAGGAGCCTGAAGCTTAGAGAGGTTGAGTGACTTGCCAGAGGTCACACAGCTTGCCAGTGGGGGATTAGTCTCCAGTTAATACTTTTGTACGCCATGCACAGTGCTTTTTCCTCTGTGCCATGTTGCTTTATATCAGTTGGCTTTAACCTTTACGTTGGGTAATCAAGGTAGTATCCACGTTACACTGCCTTACATACAGGCCCGCTCGTGGCGGGCACTCACAGGTATGTGTTAAATAAAGCCACATCATATAGACTTTATCCAGATTTCGTTGAAACCATCCTTACTAAAGCATTAGTATTCTTTTCAGAACTTTTTAATGTACCTTATCTCAAATAGAATTTATTCCTAAATCCCATAATGATAGTAATCACTGTAGCTGAAACTCTTATGGTTTTTGTCAATTAATGAAACTCTAGTACTTGGGAAATTTTCTCTTTTAACACCTGTATTAGTTTCCTAGGGCTGCTGTTACAAAGTACCATGAACTGCGTGGCTTAAACAACAGAAATTTATTCACTCACAGTTTTGGAAGCTAGAGGTCTGAAATCAAGGTGTCGGAGGACCATGTTTTCTGAAGGCTATAGGGGAGGATCCTTCCTGCTTCTTCCGGCTTCTGGAGGCTCCAGGCGTTCCTTGGCTTGTGACCACATCACTCCAGTCTCTGCCTCCATCTTCTCCCTGTGTGTCTCTCCTCTTATAAGGACACCAGTCGTTAGGGCCCACCCGACTCCACTGTGACCTCATCTTAACTAATTATATCCGCAAAGACCCTATTTCCAAATGAGGTCACATTCTCAGGTTGTAGGAAGGACATGGATTTAGGGGAGGGGCACCCCAGTATAGCACCCTTACTGGGGCAGTTTCCCAGCTGTTGGCTTTGTGTTCAGAAACAATCGAAGTGTATGGCCCGGGGCAGAAGCTCCCTCCTCCTTAAGTTTCTTTCTGCTTGGTTTCCTCTAGGGAATGTGGGGCGAGGCTGGGCTGGGGGAGCTGGGGCTCACGCTGAGGCTCGAATGTGGGGAGGCTGAGGTGCTTTGGAGGCCCAGAAGCATCCAGTCGGCTCTCTGACCGCGGGACCCTGAGAGACGTCAGGGCGGAGGGAGGAGGTTGGAGTGTCAGCTGCACACGGGGAGTTAGCATGGGTGAGGATGCGGCTGGCTGAGGAGAGGATACAGACTGGGAAGAGAGCCAAGCCTTGGAAACTACAGATTTCGATGGTGACCAGGGCAGGGCGAGAAGAAGATGGAAACAGTGAAGTCCCACAGAGGGCGCGAGGGTGGGAGCAGTTCACGTAGCTGGAGTGGGCGACAGTGTCAGACGGGGTGAGAAGGAGAGAGGATGGAAAATTGTTCAGTGAGTTTGCAGGCCAGGAGAGCGTTGGAGACGTTAGCAAGAGCCGTTTACTGGAGGGGTGGGGACGTGGCCAGACAGGAGTGGGAGAGAGGATGACCAACTCTGTGAAGAAGCTGAGCTGCTGGAGAGCCAGGGGGTGATGGCTGGAGGGCCCTGGCAGGTCAGGATTTGACTTTATTTCATTAAGGTGAGAGAGACACGAGCACTGATCAGTTTCGAGGGTAAGTGTCTGGTTGACCATATAGGTCGTTGAACCCACAGGTCTGTGCTCCTCTGTGCTGGGGGCGGTGACGGCGGAGCAGGGCCTGGGCTGTGCACTATGGTGTCTCTCTGTCCTGTGTTGCTGAGTTCAGCTGCCCCAGGTCCATGGACCTGCTGCACCTTTCCCTGGGCCTAAGGCCAGCAAAAGAGAGCTTTCCCTGGTCACGAGCCCCTACAATTGAATGCTTATTCTTTCTCTTTCCAGATGGATGAGATCAAGGGAAAAGATCGTGTGATTCTGGCCTTGGAGAAGGAACTCGGTGTGCAGACTGGGCAGACCCAGAAGCTGCTTCTTCAGAAAGAGGCTTTGGATGAGCAGTTGGTTCAGGTCAGAGAGGCTGAGCGGTACCACGGTAGTCCAAAGAGAGAGCTCCCACCTGGCATAGGGGACATGACCGAGCTCATGGGTGTCCAGGTGAGGGGCTTATGCAAGCACTGGGGCCTCAGAGCTGACCACCTACCTGTCCTTCCTCCTACTGGTCATTCTTCTGGCGAACTTGCCTGCCTGCCTGCCTTTCCCTCACCCCTCCCCCTTCCCTCCCATCCATCTGTGCGTCCTTCCTTCCCTCCCTTACCCCTTCCTCCCCAAACGTGGAGCTCAGTTGAAAAGAAATGAAAACATGAGTGCCGAGTATACAGTGAGAGCTCAGAAAGGGACCCAGTCAGATCAGGACATGACTTAAAGGCAGAGTTCTGCCCATGAGGAGAGCTCAGCCAGCAGAGAGGGCACCTGGGGCCACAGCTTGGTACTTATCAGGCACAGAGGAGGCCAAAGCTGCATTCCTTCATTCATTCCCTCATTCATTCATTCACTAAATACTCAAGTGTCTGTTGAGTGTGCTGTGTGCAGACACCACGTGAGGTGCTGGCGTCTCAGTGGTGAGTGAGGTGGGCACAGTGCCTGCCCTTGAGGAGCGTCCTGGAACTCTGTGACTGTGCCTTTGTCAGAGATGCTTGGCGGGCAGAGGTTGGGACGGGAAGGTCCCCAGATACCACATTCAGATGTCAGGGAGCCTCTGGAGGGTTTGAGGTCTTGTCGCCTTTGAGATGAAGTCTTTCCACCTGTTGCTTGATTTGGGGGATCCCCAGCATGGCGCATGGTCCTCCTAGTGAGGAGCTCACCTTTGCCCTCAGAGTTTTCCACAAAGGGTCCACAGAGCGCTTTGACTCAGTTAAGCTTTTTCAAAGTATGTTTGTATCTTGCTTCTTTTTTAGGATCAGCATATGGACGAGCGAGATGTGCGGCGATTTCAGCTAAAAATTGCTGAACTGAATTCGGTGATACGGAAGCTGGAAGACAGAAATACCCTCTTGGCAGACGAGAGGAATGAACTGGTAATCAGCCCCCAAGAGGCAGATGGCGCCTTGGGATGCAGGAAAGCAGCCCCGGGGCCACAAACCACGCCCTAAACAGGAAGTTAACGCACAGGCCATCTGGTTTTCTCTACCTTCCTTCTCATTTCTTCCTGATTAAAAATCTAACACTCGCTTGTTGAGGAAACCTGTTAGTGCCCTTGATTCTGTAGGAATTTATCCTGAGCTGACAATCAGAGAAGTTCAGTGAGGGGTGTGGAGAGGGTTTTCACTGCAGTGTTGTTTATAGTAGCAACCGAAACCGAACCAAAACAAAACCAAGCCCCACCTACGTATTGATCAAAATAATTATGGAACATTTATGCAGTGAGTTGCGTGCAGTCATTAAGAATGATGTTATAGGTCACGTTTATTTGCCATAGAAATTTGTTCACAATGAATTAAATGATAAAAGCAGTCTACAGAACAAAAATACATTGTCATCATCCTGGATTTTGGAAGTTGTTTTAGGTGGTGCGATTATGGATAATTTTTATTTTTTGCTTATCTATTTACTTTCTTTTGCATAAAAGTTCACATATTTCTAATTTTAAAAGTAGTGAATGTGAACTTCTGGTTAAAAAAAATAAATCTCTAGTAAGAATAGCAATTTCTTGAATATGTTTAAGTTTGCTGGATAAACAATTAACCTAATTTTTATGTAGTGGTAGTCAACACGTACAAATGTCTTGACAAGTGTCTCGTAATATTTCTCTTTATTCTAAATTTTATTATGAAAGTAAGTGTATAAATATATTTGAAAAACATGGGAGATGTAAAGTGTTAAGAAGTGTCACCTCTTCACAATTTTAACAGGATCAGAATAAATTCATTTCCTTCCAGTATTTTTAAAGGCATATTTTTATATAGTTTTCATCAGACTGTACATCTAATATTATGTCTCCACTTTTCATTTAAATATTCATGAGCTTAAAAAAAAAATCCCTCATGAGAGGCAAAATAGTTTACTAAGTGGATTAGAAAAAAAAATAGCTTGCTTGAAACAATGCAAACCTTCTGAAGTGTTTAAAGTAAGAATCAATAAGCTGGCCAGCACTGGGATCTTAAAATCATGAGGTGACTTCTGTTAACAGTTCGAGGTGATTCTCACGTGTTTTTAACGCTTATGCAAATATTTTGACACCCACGAAGAGCCTTTTTTTTATTGTTTTGTGGTTACAAACGGGACATTTTCCCTGTGTAATATTGTTCTGCAACTTGCTTTTTTCACTTGCTGTGTCAATTACAGTGCTCCCCAGCAATGCGTGAAGATCCACCTTTGTCTTTGTAACGCTGCATCATACTCTGTTGTGTAGCCAAACCATGGTTTATTCAGCCATTCCTCTCCTGGTGAAGATTTAGGCCGTTGCGCGTTTCCTTGCTGTTGTAAACAGTGCCTCACAGAAGATGCATTTCTGTCTTTACCGACTTGAACCTTTATTTCTGCAGGATAGATTTCTAGAGGTACAATGTATGAGTCAAGGTACATGTTATACTTTAATGGCTACCATCAGTGTTTTATCTTAACTTTCACAGCCTGGTAACCAAAAGCAGGGGTGTGCAGTCAGTCCCTTGTGTTTGGTTCTTGGTCCTGGCACTTTCTATGTGGTACATCACTCCACCTCTTTGTAGCCAGGTTCTTTGTCTGTGGAATGGGGATGGGGATGGGCCCCCTCCTAGGGTGGTGGTGAGGGCTAAATGAGAGGGGATGCCTGGAAGGTCCGAACATCGTTTTGGACACATGGCGAGTACTTGATAGATGCAGTGGTTCTTGTGATTGTCGTGATACTGATAAATATTTTAAATTGTTTATGTTTTTCATCCATTAAAATGACCCTGCGAAGACTATCACTATGCATTTTGTTCTCATAACAAGTCTCTGAGGCAGATACTACCATTATTCCCATCTTATAGAAGAGGGAACTGAGGCTGAAAACTCGGCCGTGGTCATGCAGCTAGTGTGTATGTCACGGAGGACACTGTACTCAGAAGGGAAAAGAGTGGGTGCCTGTAATGGAGCAGCCTCCCAGTCCCAGCTCCCCCTCCCCCTCGCCTGTCATCTCTCATGTCTCCGTCTCGCTGGACTGGCCTCCACACAGCAGTCAGAGTGATGGATTGTTCTAGAAGGCATTCCTGACCACAGAGTGCTCCTGCCTCAAAGCCCTGGGGGCGGCAGGAGTGTGGCTGCAGGTGGAAACAAATGGCAGAGCTCTCAGCTCCCTAAATCAGACCTCACCATGCCCGCCCCTTCTCTGCCCATCCCGCAAACTCCTTGCTCCCGCTGCACTCAGCGACGCGCCGTCTTCTTGTCCGTTCTGAACCCCTGGATGTGTGGTTCCCCCGCCTGTCTCACTGTGTTCTTACCTCTGTTACCGTCTTTGTCCTCTTCTCCCGTCTGTTGGACGGTCACCCCATCGTGTCATCCCTTTGACCCAGCTCCCAGCACAGGGCCCGGGCCCAAGAGGGGCTCCTCAGATGCTGATGGGATGAGAGAGACTGGAAGGACACCTCGTCAGTCATAGGGACTGTGCTCAGAGGACTCAGGGCGTGGCTCCAGGGCTGGATGGAGCCCTGAGCATTGAGGCTGGCATTGAGCAGGGCCAAGGGATCGTCTGTTGTCTGAAAAGTCTCCAGGTCTCTACCTGGAGAGGAATGGTGGCCAGGAGGAGCTAGGTAGCTGGAATGACCTTTATGCATGTGACCCATGACCTCTGGGGGTTATGCCCGGAGGTAAAGGAAGTGTGGAAGAGGCTCAGGCCGCTTGCCGGTGGGGACGACCTGAGAGAGGTCTCTGGGCCTCCGTGTTGGGCTGCACCCCCTCCTGTTGCCCTGCCCGAGGCCCTCTCAGGCTCAGGTGGGAGCCTGCATTTGGAAGCCAGGTGTCTGTGGGCTCTTCGTGGTGTTTGCACCACCCAGGAGATGTGGTCCCAAGCAGTGGCAGCTCCAGGCCAGGGGGCATCTCCACTGGCCTCTGAGGTTGGCTCTTACAGCTGCTGCCCTCTCTGTCTGGCCGCAGCTGAAACGCTCCCGTGAGACCGAGGTCCAGCTGAAGCCCCTGGTGGAGAAGAACAAGCGAATGAACAAGAAGAACGAGGACTTGCTGCAGAGCATCCAGAGGATGGAGGAGAAGATCAAGAATCTCACGCGGGAAAACGTGGAGATGGTAAGTCGTCGTCTCGGAGTCCTTGTCTCTGCCCGGGCTCCTCCAGCTCCTGGCCCTCACCGTACACGTTCCCTGGGGCCACCTCCTACCCACCTCCCCCAGGAAGCCTGCCGAGCGATCTCAGTCTGCACCCGTCCCTCCTGCCTCTGTTCTCCACAGTTCACAGCACTGTGGGCATCTGTGCCTGACGGAGAGCCCGGGGCAGTCAGACAGTGGGTCTCCACCCAGGGTCCTTAGGCCCAGCCCTCATTCTCTCAGCTTCCTCATCTGTGAACTGGGAAGGAAAATATCAGTGCTGTGGGTTTAAGGAGAGGATGGAGTGATGGCGTAAAACATTCGCACAGAAAACCCGGTGCACTGACGAAGCTCAGTACATGAATGATTACAGTTTTGCTCTGAGTGCTTTGAATTTGGGCCTTTTATTTGCTCCAACAAGAATGACTGGTCTTTGTGGTCAGGGTGGTGTCTTGCAGTTGATGGTTTAAGGAATACTCTGAGGTTCATTGTCTAAACTAGTGTCAGTCATGCCCATTTTACAGCTGAGAAGACTGAGGCTCCGGGAGACAGAACACCCTTCTCCCACGCCCTGGCAGGTCCAGGTGTGAGTGTGTGTCGTTACCATGTGTTCCGTGCTCTCTTTCCCCAGCGACCAAGCTTTCCAGGCTTGGTGCAGACATCCACCTCTCCCCACCCCAGTGCCCACCCAGCCCTTCCTGTCAGCATCGGGCACAGTCAGCCACACCTCGGGCCTGACTCTGGTCTGCAGCTGTCCACTCCTCCAGCTTGACGACCTGGGGGCTCTCATCCCTCCCTCCATTCTTCCATCCCATATCCCCAAGCCCACACTCCATGCCCTGACGCGCATGGTGGGTTCCTATCAAGTGTCGTGGATGAGTGGCCCTGCAGTGCCCTCTCTTCCCTTGGCTGCAGAAAGAGAAGCTGTCAGCACAGGCGTCCCTGAAGAGGCACACTTCCTTGAATGACCTCAGTTTGACGAGGGACGAGCAGGAAATCGAGTTCCTGCGCCTGCAGGTGCTGGAGCAGCAGCATGTCATCGACGATCTCTCGCTGGTATGTCTGCATGAGCGTGAGCGACAGCCCTCCGTGGGGCGCATGAGACCCAGGCCCCGGGAATGGCAGCAGGGCTGCAGGGCGATGCTGCTGGCAGGGTGAGATCTCACAGAGCTCCTCCTGGTGATGGGCACCTTCCCCCTTTGTTCTTCCAGAAAGCAGCCTCCACTTGTTTATACGACATCACTGGTATCTGGGAGCGGTTTTCATGGCTACTCTTTTTCTCAAATCTTATCCCTAGTTTGCTGCCATTGAGAAGCAGCATCAGTTTTTTAAAAAGAGCCTTCTGGCCTCTACAGAGTGGGCATGATCTGTCCCCAAGAAATCTATTTTCTTTTCTTTTAGCCTAGTTGTTGCAGACTGTGAACTTGAAAACTGGAACCTTATGATCAGAGCAGAATTTGAAGGACTTGTTAAGACTGTGTGTGTGTGTGTGTGCAGGGAATCATTAAGGGGGTTGTATGTCTTAAGTAGGTGGAGTGTTACATCCAGAGAATTCTGTACCTCTTTGTGGAAGGAGCTTAGGAACCAGGAAGGGAGCATCTATAGTGAGCTTTAGCTGCATCTTAGAAGCAAAGTGTGTTCTGCTTGACCAAGGGGGTATGTGGTGCTTCCATTAGTGGATCTTCAAAAAGTAGAAAAGCCAGTGATCAAAATTATAGAAAAGGCTTTGACTGTAATTGTCCAATTCATTTTGCTTTCCTATCTCTCTATCTCTACTCCTTCCTTCTCTCCTTCCACTCACCCATCCATCCTCCCTCCCATCCCTCCATCCACCTTCCCATCGTCCCCTTCCTCCACCCATCCCTTCTTCCCTCCATCCCACCTTCATTCCAACCATCATCTAATCATTTATCCTTCCATTCATCTTTGCTTCATCACACGAAAGTCTTTATGCCACATAAGATGAAAAAAACACACTCAACAAAACAATGATAGAGTTGAAAGAGGAAGATTAACAGATAAGACTAGAGAAAAGGAAGATAGCAGCATCAGTTAAGATCAGCAGGGACACATGGGTGGACCATATGGGCTGTGGCCAACCACCAGATTTGTCTCTGGGTTTCCTGGCAGCCAAAGAGAATAGGAACATTTGATTAGGAAGGAGAGAATTTACTGGTTTTATCTGGGGCAGAATGCTGCTACTCCTGCTACTACTCGATGGGTGCCATTTCTACTGACAAGAACCACAGGTACCCACAGTCTCTAAAGGGCGTGTTCCAGCCCATATAGCAAAGGAAGAACCTGAGAGTCAGAGAAATGAGGTGTGTCACCTGACCAGGAGGAGGCCCCATGGGGATTTGGTCCCAGCTCTGTCTGAGATCAAAGCTGCAAGCTTTTTTATTTTCTGCTGGGATCACTGACAGCTGATGTCTAGTCAACACTGCCTAAAGTTTTATAGCTTACAGCCCCAGAGACAGACAGGCTGGAGTTTTACAAGACTGGCAAATCTTGGCATTTTTTCTGGGATGGTCCAAGTCCAGTTAACGGCATGGCTCTGTAGCTGTCAGTTCTGAGAAGCAGCCATGCCTTGGGTGCTCAGAACCTGGACTGACCCAGGCCTGGTGCAGACAGGTAGGCACAGCAGCATTGTAAGTTATGCCCTCTGAAGTCAGCTGGGTTGGTGGATGTGATGTGCGGCTGGCTGAAAATCCCAACAGTTGTGTTTCCTTCTAGGAGAGAGAACGGCTCTTGCGCTCCAGAAGACATCGTGGGAAGGGCCTGAAGCCACCCAAGGTGAGCGTGCGAGGGCGCAGCTGCCCTGCTTTGGCTCCATGCCAGGGTCTGCAGGGCAGATGGTCCAGGCATAGGGGGAGAAGCGAGCAATCCATAGAGGAGCCCTAAAGGCAGACACACTCACATCTCTGCATATTCGATGGTGAAAAACCTGTTATAACTACCTCTCAAAGCAACGTGGGGCTGCTTACTGTAATTTATTCATGGAAAATTTACAGATGAATTCTGTATTTAGGCCTCAGGGGATGCTCACCCCAAATTAAAAACTTAAATACTTAGACCTTTTGAAGGATTTAAAAGACACTTAGTCTTGGTTTATAACATCTATATCCTGTTTTGAAAAATCAGAAGCTTTGGGCTTTTTTGGAATGATACAGGATGCGTTCTTTTTGGAAAATGTGGTTTTGCCCATTTTATAGAGATGGTGTCCAAACATCCAGTGAAGAGAGCAGAGCTGGGTTTGGAAAACTCGGATGCCCACAGGGACCAAGCTGGAAAGTAAAAGAACAAATTGGTATTTAAAAAGGACTTAGTTTGCATTAATACCTGTAAACATTTTTCACTTCCATGAAGATGTGGGCCTGTTCTCCTTTTTATTGAAACAGATGCCCCTCATGGTTTATCTTTGGGTAGAGATATGTTTGTAGAGAAATATTTCTCTCCTATAAAGAAAACAGCAGTGCAGATGTCTTACTGAATGATCACAAATATATGGCTTTGGTGTCAGGGTGACAATAAGGAGTGGTGGGGACTGTGGAAAACTGGGCCCAGACTATCAGCTGCTATAAGAAAGTGAGCCAGGTGGTATCAGATATTCCAGTCATTCAAGAGGAGTGGGACTCCTTATGCATTAGTTTCCTAGGGCTTTTGTAACAAAGTACCACAAACTGGGTAGCTTAGAACAACAGAAATGTGTTATCTCAAGGTTCTGGAGTCTAAAAGTCTAAAATCAAGGTGTTAGTAGTGCCGTGCTCCCTCTGAAACCTGTAGGGGAATCCTTCCTTGCCTCGTCTGAGCTTCTGGTGATTTACTGGCAATCTTTGGCTTTCCTTGTCTAAAAGCTGCATAACCACAATCTCTACTTTTGTTGTCACGTGCCATTTTCCCTGTATGTCTCTGTATCACGTGGCTATCTTCTTATAGGGACACCAGTCACATAGGGGTCCACGCCACTACAGTGTGCCCTCATATTATTGCAATGACCTTATTTCCAATTGAAGTCACATTCTGAAGTACTGGGGGGTTAGGACTTTAACATATCTTTTTTGGGGGACTCAGTTCAACCCGTAACACCTTTATGTAAAATCTAAGGGTTGTAAATATTGGTGCAAATTGTTTATAGTATACTCTGTGGGCCAAATAAAATATATCTGTGGACCGAATTTGGACACATGCATAAGTGGTTATTTATACCGTCTCATTTAATCTTCATAGCAACCCTGTGAGACTGGTGTTATTTTTTTTCATTTTAAAGTTACAGGAAGTATATAGATATAAAATTTAGAAATGAGTCAAAGAGGTAAAGTAATTGACAAGGCTGACCTTCAGCCTCAAGTCTTGGGCTCCAAGGCCCAAGCTCGTGCCACCAAGTGAAGTTGAATGAGATACAAATCTCTATGCACTGACATTAGAAACTCAGGAAAGGGAAGTGGTTCAGCAGAACTTGGTTATTTTTAAATATATATATTTTATTATGGAAGTAGTATAACCACATTGTAGACTATCTGGGAGACAAGGGGTCCATCACAGCGGTACCTCCCCAGTGCAATCAATGTTGGCATTTTAACACAATCTCCGCTCCCCCCATCCTCATTCTGCTTCCATTTTTTTAAATAATGTAACTGTAGGGCTTCCCTGGTGGCGCAGTGGTTGAGAGTCCGCCTGCCGATGCAGGGGACATGGGTTAGTGCCCTGGTCCGGGAGGATCCCACGTGCCGCGGAGCGGCTGGGCCCGTGAGCCATGGCCATTGAGCCTGCGTGTCTGGAGCCTGTGCTCCGCAATGGGAGAGGCCACAACAGTGAGAGGCCCATATACCACAAAATAAATAAATAAATAATGTAACTGTAATTGTAGAATACACTTTTGCACCCTGGGTGTTTACTTACTACTATGCTATAAAGCATTTTTCCATGTTATGATGCTGTCATCATAAATGTGAATGTTCATGGCTACATAATCCATGGAGTGGATGGGCTATAGATACGTTTACTGTCCTGTGTCTGCCGGGCATGTTTGCTTCCAGCTCCTCACGGTTGTGAATAACGCTGCAATAAATGTGTCTATGCTGAGCAGACCACTCTTCACGGGCCAGTTCTGCTGGATTCCCTGAGTGCTGAACATCTCATTGGGTGACCACCCTTTCCGTCTTCCTGGACTTCCTTCTTCTGTAAATGTCGCCACAGCGAACTCTTTTTGCCCAGAAAACTGTGTCCATAGTCTGGATCGTTCCCATGGGTAGATTCCCAGAAGTCAAAACGTGGGTCAGAGGGTGTGAAGGCTTCAGTCAAGAACATTCGCCCCCAGCCCCCAACCCCTGCTTTATAGAAGGGTTGCGTCATTTTGCACAGTTGCCAGTAATGTACACCAATGCCATTTTCACCACAGGACATATGTTTAAAAAGCAACAATCTAAAGGTGTTCAGTTTGTTGCACGAACTGGATGTGCTGCGGGCTCATATATCCCAGAAAGGTTTTCAGGAAACCCACTTTGGAGCCGTAACTATATTTTTCAAACCTTATCAGAATGCCTGGAATAAGAGAAGATTATGTTTCCCCTTTTCCTGTTTCTGAATGTGTCTATGGGAAGGAACTTTACAGAGGCCTAGAATGGGCTTGGGATTTGCTAGGCTTGCATGTACAGCCGGCAAGGAGGGCAGCACCTGTGTCCTGCTTACCACGTCCTGGTCACTGCCTGGCACAGAGTGGGTGGCCCTAAATAGCTGTTGACTCAGTAAACAAATTGCTTTTACTGGAATGATACATTTGCCTGACACTGGGTCTTCTCAGGATGGGGATGTTTGGTCACTGTAATTGCAATAGTTTTATGCCACTGGAAGGTGGAGTTTGGGAACTTCTGTGGGAAATTTCCTGACCTGATTCAGGGTCTTTCCCACTTACTATGACCCACCAGCATCTTTCTTTTTCTCAAGGTTCAGTGTACAGCTGTTTCCCTTATGCTACTGCTCAATCCCAGCTTGTCGGGGCTGGATGGGATGTTATCTGGGTCCATCGGGGACCCGGTTAGGTTTTTAATTCTGCAGGGCTGCCTCTCAAGCTGGGCAACTTCCCTTCCTCCTCTCCACAGGCCGCAGGGATTCAGTACTTTCTTTTCTCTCCTTAAATGCCTCCATCGCACTCTGTCCCTTATGCATCCACGTACTTTACCGCTTTGTCCGGGTCCTTGCATGACACAGTGTCATGGTGAGCGCATTGAAGTGTCCAGAATTTTCTGGAAGTCTGACAGCCATCCCTGCTCTCTGGCTGTTGCAAGCCTCCCTGGACTCTGCAGTTCCCCCGAAGGGGCTCCTCTAATTCCACACCCACAGCCCAGTTGCTGCAGAAGTGCTGAGGGCAGAGCAGTGATGCCAGCCCTCATCTTCCAGGGGGCCATCCTGTCCCCGAGGGCTGCTGACCTGTCTCATGGGTCTTCTGGGGACAAGACTGGTGTTGGCTGTCCCTGCCCGGGGACCCTGCTAGTTCAGCCCCGGGTGGAGGTTGCAGGAGAATGACCCTGAGCGGTTCCTCAGGCCCTAGCCAGGGAGGGGGACTTGCTCTGCAGAAGGTCTGATCAGGGCCTAACTGAAATCAGAGCCCCGCCATGGAGTGGCGGGTGGTAGGGGGTCAGCTCGTGCAGCCTGGCAGCAGAGAGCTGTGTCTTAGGAGAGAGCTGGGTGCGTGAAGAATGGCTAAAATTAGTACAGTTTGCTCACGCACCTTGAAAGGGGGGCTGGGATCTTGGATGAGGCTCAGAAACCGTAGCCTGGAACAGCGTGGGGGTCACACCGGCTCCTAGCTGTGTGGCCTTGAACTCTGGGAACCTCGGTTTCCTGGTTCTTACAATGAACATCACACCCATGAGATTAAAGGTAGCTTCTGGCTCCATGCCTGTTGTGTCGTCAGGGATCAGTAAATTATAATTTCTCTTTCTCCCTTCATCTTAAATCAGTAGCTTTCTTTTGGAGGGCCTTTTAGATGCAGGTTCCCAGGCCCTGCCCCTCCCCTCCCCCCCACTCTAATTCACGTCACCATCTTTTAGATAGAGACAGTCTCAGGTAGCAGTGAGGTGACATCTCGATGCCCTGTAGACAGCAGCCATCCTTTGAGGGGAGGTTGGGAAACATCAAAGCACCACCTGAGAATAGGCCCTTCCTTGGGTTCAAGCATCTGTTCTGTGGTCCCTTCTCCCAAATGGACCAGGGGTCTGCTGTCACCAGGACACAGTTCACACCTGGGGAGCTTCTGATACGTCACTTCTGGTCAGTGGCTCCTGCATCCATTCTGATAGGACACCTAGGGCCTATCCAAACTTGACCTTGTGCCTCCAAGACCAAGCCTGCGGCCTTGTGGAGGGAAGGACCAGGGTCCCAGCAGCTGCTCTGGCACAGAAGCCAGGGTGCCGCACCTTAGCCTAGCTGGATGCCAGGCACTTTCCATCACGTGAATACATTTCCCATTTTTAAGTAGCCAAAGGAATCTTTTTTCCCCTTTCTGGTTGTTTCCACTTGACTTTGTTCCTGTACAACCCTTCCCCATGGCTCTGTCATCAGCCTTTGAATGTGGAGAGGGCTGGATCCTGCCTCGTTCGTCCAGTTATGAGCAGCTCCCAGCACAGCACCCGGCCCACACAGTGGGGCTCGATCACATGGACTAAGTGAGCTATACTTCCTTTCAGTCCTGCTGGTCTGTGAGGCTCCCCGCGTGGCAACGTGCAGCCGAGGGCTTTCGCTGGGTGTTTCCTTCCCTGGACGGGACAAAGGCTTGTCCCTTCCAGGCTGGGCAG